CATTCGGAAGACCGAAAGAAACAATATTCAAAATCCTCGAAAATCCAGGCTATGTGGTGGCTTTGGCTATACGTAAATAAATTTTGTTTCTGGCAGGTTAGGTATGAAAATTGTGAAAAGGAATTGTGAAAGTGTGAATTCCTCCTAAAACTGAAGGCAGAGGTTTCACAGTAAGCCTGAGGAAGAGGCTGTTCAGCTCGGGAGGGGCTCTGAGCTGAGAACTTCACCTTCCCCTTGGCATCTCCCCCGGGTGGGAGAGGACCCGCTCTCCCTTGGAAATCCCTTCCCAGCATGGAGGAAGTAGACTTTCTCGATTCTTCTTAGCGCTGCTAAGAAACAAGGGAATTTCAAAGGCCTCTCTAAATATTAGGGGAAAACCATAAGAAACAGAAAATATACGTGAATCACAAAAATGGAGACGGAGACACTTATAATCTAAGTATCCTATCATACTTCTCACAGGCATGTCTCTACCCAGCCTCAAATACGACCTTTTCCATTCTAGACCTGAACTGTCCAACATGGGACCCACTAGTCACATGTGGCTATTTGAGCACTTGAAATGTGGCCAGTGCAAATTGAGACTAAAATGCACACTGAATTTCAAAGGTTCAGTATGAAAAAATATCTCATGAGTAATGTTTTATATTGATTACATGTTGAAATGATAATATGTTAGTAATATGTTAGGTATACTGGGTTAATATATATTACTGAAATTAACTTTACCTGTTTTTCTTTTCTTTTTCTTTTTTTTTTTTTTTTTTGAGACAGAGTCTCTGCCCTGTGGCCTGGGCTAGAATGCCCTGGGGTCAGCTCAAGCGATCCTCTTGCCTCAGCCTCCGAGGGAGCTGGAACTACAGATGAGCACCACCATGCCCGGCTTATCTTTTCTATTTTGGGTAGAGTCAGGGTCTCCCTCTTGCTCAGGCTGGTCTCAAACTCCTGAGCTCAAGGGATCCTGGCCCCTCAGCCTCCCAGAGGGCTAGGATTACAGGCGCGAACAACCACCCCTGGCCCACCTGTTTTTCTTTACTTTTTTGCTGTCTGCTACTAAAGAGTTTAAGTTACATACGTGGCTGGCATTGTATTTCCGTTTCTGTTTCCTTCCATAGAAGTCTCAGGCAGCGTGAGACAGGGCAGCAGGAAGACAGGCAAGCCTTGAGGCTGGGGTTTGGCGCACTGAGTCTGCAGGGCCTGTGGCAGGAGCTACCGGCTGGGTGTTGGGAAACGTGAGTGTGCGCCTTAGAAGACAGGGCAGAGCTGAGACAGCGCTTTGGAAACCCTCGCCCTGTGAGAATAGAGAACGGAGCAGACAGCTGAGGAAGGGCCCCTGAGGACACCGGCATTTCAGGGCTGCCTTTGAAGTGGATCCAGCAATGGAGGGGATGATTGGATGATCAGGAAGATAAATAAGCACAGAAGCCCCGGAAGGGAGAGCTCCAGAGGAAAATGGCCCGCACTGCCTGGAAGTGGCCATAGACACTGGCCTTTTGCTTTCCTTTTGTTAACATTTAACTAGTCAACAAACTCTGACTGTTTTCACCGATTTATTCCTCAAAACCGCACTGTTACAGTTAACTGTGGGTCTTATCTGTCGCCTCCCACTACACTGTAAGTTTACAGGCAGAGACAGCGTCTTATTTATCCTTGTCAGTCCGGGATCTAACAGGATGCCTGACATTCAGAGGTGCTCAATAACTGGACCCGAACTACCTTCTTTTGTTGTTGTTGTTGTTTTTGTTTGTTTGTTTTCTCACCAGCGTTACGGCCAGACTAACTTTCTTAGTAGATGAGCTGAGTTTGGGATTTACTAAAAATGCAGACTGAACAAGATAGTGATCAAGTCATCTAAGGAGTAATGTAAACAGAGTAAGCACAATCTCACTTCGCTGCACTAGAATCCATTACTATGCTGGACATAAAGAGAATGACCTTATAAACAACCATTTTTGGCAAATGAAGAAACATTCAAATGTTTCTCTAACTATTACTGTTTAACAAGATAAGGAAAATAAAGGTACAAAAGAAGAACCAGTGGAAACCAGGAATATAACCCTTAAACCTACAGCTCCCAATACCCAGGACTTGGAATGCTCAATAATAAATCGGCCCCAGGTTTCTACCCCGGGAATGTCAACAGGGCAGAAAGTCTGAAACCAAGATGAAGCTTCCAAAGCAATGTAACCAAAGACCTTCTAGCACATTAGAACCATTTTAAATACTATATGGTAGTAGTTCTCCCAATTTTCTCTAATCCTATGTCCTGTCTTTTCCTACCAAAAACGTTTTTCTGAATTTTAACTCAAAAATGTAAATTAGTCTTATATACATAGTCATCTTGATATGTATATCATATTCATATTCATCCATTTTTACCTGTTTACCTTACTGATCAATCCTACTCATCGATATGTCATATTCATAAATGAGACATATGAATTGAGAGGACAGGAAAGAAATCTGTCTTTGCCTGCTTAGCTGTTTCCATGATGGACTCTGATTGCTCCCACACCTGCCAGATTGAGGCCTCCCTTCCTTCCAGATGGACGTGCACCTGGCAGTCAGAGGCAGACCAGCCCTTCCTACCCCTGCTGCCTCTCCTCCTGGCTCTTCGCCTGTCCTTACCCTAGAAGCCTCATGGGGGCTTTTGGAAGCAAGAAGAGGTTAGGGGAAGGGGGACAAGGAAAGAAAAAATGGAGAGGATGTTGGCTTGGCCGAATTGATAGGGGAAAATGCACAGGACTCTGATGGCCTTGGAGAAGACTGCCAACATAGAAATATCCTCTGGACAAGCCTGATTTTGGTATCTCTACCCCACACCGCCTCCTGCATTCCATCGCTCACTCTGTTTGGGGTCAGGCTTCTCCCCCGAGGCGAGGACCATATCTTCTATATCCACAGCACCTAAATGGCCACTGTGCACAGGGACACTGGTATAAGCTTTGAGAAGGGAGTCTGGGTAGGAGAGAGAGGAGCACAAACCCATTTCTCTAAAGCTCCATTCTGGAAATTAGGGCAAGGTCACAAAAGCAGGGGCTGGAGAGAGCCGGGGGCATCCTGGACCCCTGCGCAAGCCTCGGTGGCTGTTCAGCTGGTTTGCATCAGCTCGGCATACAGGTGCTCCAGCACTGGGCCTGCCCACACCATAGCCACTGGCAAATATTTCTAATCTGTCCTTGGATACAGCCATGAAGGTGCCTGTAATTCTACAGCCATGAATATATTCTAATATATTCGTTGGAAAGCCATAAATGCTTTGCTATTCATGGCCCCTAAGAAAACAAGAATTTGCCAGATGCCAGGGTCCCTCCCCAGCTATCTGTACTTAAAACCCTAAAACTAGTTGGATCTGCTCTGAAACCGTCTCACCCTGGGTCAAAGGTAAGTCTAGTTTGTCAATGGCTCTAGCAGCCTGCAGAGTTCAACAAACACTGAAGACCACTGTCTCTGTCCAGAAGAGACCCACAGTCTAGTAGAAAGATAAGCTAAACACTGTTTGAAATGAACTTAAGTGCTTTTATAAAAAGCACTAAATTCCTAATAAAGGTGGCAGATTGAACACAAACATTTAATCTCTATTCCTCCTTGAAACCATACTAAAATGTTAAGGGGGGGGGAATGGTTTGGGCTTTTTTTTTTTTGGAAGGTGGTGGTTGTTTGTCATTATTTTTGTTTTAAGCATATAAGAAAAGAGAGAGAAGATCACAGCAACAATATTTGGGAAACTGGAGAGCAAAAGGCCACGTGTTGATTGATTTGGCCACAAAAAGCCTCCAAATTACAGAATGCCAAGATATAACACAAATCATGTAGCATAGCCCCTGAATCTCAGGAACTAGAAGATTTGAGGCTACAGGTGGAGCTGTGAACCAGACGGTCCAGTTGAAAGTCTGTTTAAAAAACAAACATCCAAGTGTTACAGCTCTTTTAGAATTTGTCTAACGGGTTTTCCTGTCATCCCAGGAAGACCCCACTTAAACAAACAAGCAAACAAACACCCACACCCCAAGCTGCTGCCTGCCCTTCCCCCAGGCCTGGAGCTTTGTTCCCTGGAGAAGGCAAGACAGGATCTGGGAGGAGTGGGAGAGGATGAGACAGGCTGGGGCTCCCTCTCTGCAAATGGGGATTAACTCAATGTCTACAAGTTGAATAGTGAGTAGACAATCACCCCTTAATTTATGTTTTCAAATATGAACTTTCATATTTCAAATTTGTTAAGTACAGCTAAACTGAAACAGAATAAAAAATAATAATAGTAATCTCTAGCATTCTACAGGTGCCGCAATCCCTAACCGAAATCCTGGAGGTCAGATATGTTTCAGAATTCAGAAAGTGTGTATCTGTTTGTTGAAGGCAAAACAGTGCAAGCACATATGCTGTATATTACCTAATATTATGAACGGGGTCTGGGGCAACCCCTGGGAATTTAACATATTCATATTTCTGCAGTGAAATGTATGAATACACTTAAATATACACCAAGTGGGATAAGTAAGGAGTAAAATTAACTATCTGTTCGGGTCATGTTTGGCTGCCAACTTAGTTTTAATGCCAAACTTATTTAAAAAAAAACAAAACAGTAGTTGCCAGGGGCTAGGGCTTAGGGGAAGTGGGGAGTTGTTTAACGGGTACAGAATTCCAGTTTTGCGAGATGGAAAGAGATCTGGAGATGGATGATGGTAGCACACTATGAATGTATTTATAATACACTTAAAAATGGTTAAGATGTTAAATTTTAAATTTGTATATTTTACTGCAATAAAAATATTTGGAAAAACAAAGCAAAAACAACTTTTGGTTTTCAGACCTTTTTGGATTTCAGAATTCTAGAAATAGCACTATAAACCAATACTTGGATATAAGGCCTACCCTTCTAATCCTGATGGAATTTTGAAAATAAGGTACTCAAGTTTTCTGTGCCTTGTTTTCTTCTATGAAACAAGTTAAATCATAGCGAACATCTTCAAAGTGAGACAATAAAGTGTTCAAATTGTTACCTCTTTCGTTGAGTTTTTTATTATTCAGATAATTTAGCAAGAATGGCTGGATAGATTATCCAAACGAATTTGGTATCCAGTGGGTATATCTCTGGAAAGAATGAACCCTTTGGGTCAGCACCGAGCACTCTGATTTTCCTGGGCGATCAGGATCTTCAGCAGCGCGGGAAGGCAGGAGAACTCTGCTACAAATAAACACAAGCCCAGACAAGTCCAACAAAAAGGTGACACAAACAGAGTTTGTTTTCAGGTTCCCGGCCTTTGCGTCTCCGGCTGTGCCACACCCACTTAGGACTCCACATCTCCCCAGCCTACAACCTGCCTGGTCCTGCCTCATCCAATTGCCTATTCTTCTGACATTCCCAACTTCCTGTCCCCAAATTGAAACTCCATCTATATCCCATTCCCTGAGGATCCAGCTATTTACACTACAAAAAAATTACTAAATGCATTGATTCATATAAATGTATTAAAATGTTTACTAGGTCAATATGTACCTCTCCTATAGAACACAATTTCTATTTTGCCACAGAGTATTTCAAAGGCCATGCTTTAACCCAGAGAGGTATTTAGAGGAAGGAAATTAACCCTTATTAAGGGTCTAGTATTTTTCAAATTTTTCAAATATTTTTGAAGTACCTTGCACAAGTTATTTTATGTAATCCTCATTTAATATTGCCATGACAGGATGGTATTACATTTTTTACAGGTGAAGAAACTGTGGTGATCTGGTCCATTTATTTAAGGTCACACAGATGGTCAGTAGTAGTTTAAGGATGGGAAACCGTTCTCTTTCTAGCACTCCACCCCACTTGCACAAAGGAAGTCGCCAAATCCAACACCCAGCAACTCAGCAGGGAGAGTATTTCGAAATAGTCAGGGCCTTGTGGCTCCCAGAGCCAACCAGACTCTCTTGCTATTTCCCTCTTTCCAGATTTCTATTGACCCCTTAATACCCACTGGTCACTACACTGAGCACAACACCATACAGCGAGGCTTTTTCTAATTATAATTGTTAAAAAAATCTGCACATAGCTACAGCACTCATAAAATTCTCTAACAAGAAGAAATTAATAATTCGGGGCAGAATGCTTTGTGAGATCAGTTTCACAGAGAGATCAAGTTCAGTGTACATGTGAAACATCAACATAAATATCAAAATTATAGTCCCGACAGTGTCCTTGACACAAAACATCCAAATTTAGCAGATAGAAAAGACTCCTGGAATTGGCCACAGCTAAATATACCCATGCTTGTCGCATACTGCTTGTACTGGTGTCTCATCACATTGGGGCTGCTCACAGGGACTTCATTTCCTTCATTCCCCCAGTTTGGGGGAGGGAGAGCCTAGAGACTCTTTCAGCCAAGTCCTTACCCAACATCCTGTGACACTCATTGTAATCCCTCAGACAGAAATTCCATGAGGGCAGGAATGTTTTCACAGCTATATCCTCAGTGTGGAGAACATGGGGCAACTCAACATGTATTTGTTGAATAAATGAATGACCGTCTTCACTGACTTTCTCTGGAATTTTTCATCACCTCTTATCTCGTCCCGTACCATATTTATCCCACAATTTCTAGCGGTCCCTCTAAATCTCTAAACTCTTCTCTAAATCTTTAATTCTTCTTCCTCTTCTTGCAACAGAGTAAGTTTGAAACAAGCAAAAAATATTCCTATTGGGTATATATGTATTTCTAGTGAAGAAATTGAAACAATACTCTTAGAAATAAGAGTTAAAACAAGAGAGAAAATATATGGTAAATGCACAGTGCATCCAATTCTTACCAAATGCAGATACACGTAATACTAAAATTGCAGCAGCTGTGTTTATTTTATAATTTAGGCTTTTTTTTTAAAGTGCAATGTGTTTATTTTAATGTCAGCTTGATGTCAAGTTTAAAATATAACATGAGTTTCTCTATATGTTCTACCTCATTTCCTAGAGAATCTTTTAATATTTAAATATAACCTACACTCCTAATTCCCAGCCCTCATCATATACCAATCTAAGGGGAGAAATCTCTCAAAAATTGTGTGTTGACAGAATGCTCTAAAATATGTTCTAACCAATAAAGTGGGAAAATAAATCTGAAAGCAACAATCTAAGCTTTGTTGTATTTCACAAAAAGATCTACACTTAAAGGAAATAAAAACATCACATGTGCAATAGCAGACAGGGTTGCTATGGTAACAAACTGCATTTTTTAATATTTTACTCTTCAATCATGGTTCATATGAGAATTACAACCAAATAATGTCAACATTCACTTCCTTCTGATCATATAGACATCTCTGGAATAAGCTGTACTTACAGTTCAAGGAATTTTCATTTTTTAACCAATCTTCTTCTGTCTTTTCTAGAAATTATAATTAAAATACAAAAAATAATGGTTAATAATGGCATTGGGATTAAGTTTGCACAGTCATTTTACTCATGCAGGGATGCTCCTAAAATGACAAAAGAGATATAATAACCACAAATGTCAATTTAAACTTTTAAAATATTGTTCTCTGTGTGTATATGTGTGTGTGTGTGTATTCTAAATAGCCATGAGGTCTCCATGGGGAATCAGGAAAAATAAGAAGTTTAGAAAAATGTATTTGGTTTTACTAAAGGGACACATAAAATGGGTCCACTTTTCCCACAGCAGTGTTTATGTGAACAGTTAAAAATGACTACTATCCTGAACTATTAGTTCTATCATGTTTCACTAAACTTTGAGTTTACAATGTATTTCAAAACATACCTGAGCATTGTCTCTGGGCACATTTAAATCCCTGCCAACTAACATGAACACAAGCCCAGCCGCCTCCAGTACATTAGGTAGAATACTGGCTTTCCTAGACTCTCTAGCATTTTTCTCCTCCTCCAGCCACCTGGAAAATGGGCAGCCCTCAGAACAGTCATGTCCTTCACCATGACCAATAATCTTGCCTTTCACTACGCCCAACAGATCACACCAATAATGAGGTGCTTCCAAGTCAAGCAAATATAAATTCACTTTGTAGCTGCTGCTCCATCACAACAGGGTAAGACTGAGGGCTGGACAGAGAAAAGATCTAATGAAGAATAAAAAACTCTGCAAGAATGGGCACCTCAGTCATGCCCAGTGGCCCTCATACCTGCAAACACCACAAGAAAGTTAGGGAATTAAGTGCAGCTTTCTCTTTGGAACTGATGGAAAAAAAACATGCCTATCTATATTATCCACCCATTCACATACATTATTTTTCTAATTTAATAGAAGGGATATAGCATTTCCCTCTTGAGTTTGATAAACAGATCTTCTCCAGTTTTACTTTTTTCATTCCATAGTTTTTTATTTTAATTTAAACATAATAATTGCATATATTTATGGGATGTGATGTTTTGCTACTTGTGTACATTATGTAATGATCAAATCAGAGTAATTAGCATATCTATCAACCTCACAAATTTATCATTTCTTTGTAGTCAGAACATTCAAAATCCTCTCTTCTAGCTATTTTGAAAGATACAATACATTATTAACTACAGTCACCCTTCTGTGCAATGGAACATCAGAACTTAAATAATGGAATACTATTTAGTCATAAAAATAAGAATAAAATCCGGTCATTTGCAACAACATGGGTGAGCCTGGAAGAAATTACGTTAACTGAAATAAGCCAGACACAGAAAGACAAATACTACATGACCTCGCTTGTATGTGGAATCTAAAACATTGATCTTATACAAGTGGAGACTAGAATTGTAGTTTCCAGAGACTAGGGAGGGCTGGAGATACGGAGACAAGGGAGAGGGTCTTCAATTTTATTTTATTTTATTATTTTTTTGTTTTGAGATGGAGTCTCGCTTTGTTGCCCAGGCTAAAGTGAGTACCATGGCGTCAGCCTAGCTCACAGCAACCTCAAACTCCTGGGCTCAAGCAATCCTTCTGCCTCAGCCTCCCGAGTAGCTGGGACTACAGGCATGCGCCACCATGCCTGGCTAATCTTTTGTATATATATTTTTAGTTGGTCAATTAATTTCTATTTTTAGTAGAGACGGGATCTCGCTCAGGCTGGTTTCGAACTCCTGACCTCGAGCGATCCGTCCGCCTCAGCCTCCCAGAGTGCTAGGATTACAGGTGTGAGCCACCGCACCTGGCCTTCAATTTTATTTTTAAAGAAACCAGTTAGAGAAGGCCTTCTTTGAAAGCCATAAAAACATACCTCCACTGATGTCTTCCATTGCAAATAGATCATCTTCAGTGTCCGCCGGTCGAGGGGAACCATGTAGTCATCGGGCAACAAGGACTCTGTTAAAAAAGCAAAGGAACAAATTTCATCGCGAATGTCACAGTTTTTTACCCTAAATGTGAAGATATGCAAATATGATATCTACACCACCATAACAGAAAAAGTCTGGTTTTAAAGATACATTTCCATGATGGCTAAAGCTATCAGATCTCAATTCGTAAACATTATCCAGACTCAATGAAAATTCTTATACACACACACACACACACACACACACACACACACACAGAAAACGCTATGTGTTTGATTGGGCACCGTGGCTCACACCTGTAATCTCAGCACTTTGAGAGGCCAAGGCAGGAGGATCACTTGAGGCCAAGAGATCAAGGCTATAGTGAGCGGTGACCTCACCCCTGCACTCCAGCCTGGGTGACAGAGCAAGACCCTATCTCTTAAAAAGAATTATATATATCATAGCTCATATTCTCATGTAAGTATAAACATATAATAGCTTCAAGTGATACTCTCACAGGGCATAACATTTAGGTAGTCATTATTTCCTGTGGCACGTATGAAACATTACGGCTGTAGCAAGTTTAGTCTTTTTGCAAATTGCTTCTTCCAGATGAGTGTCTGGGCGGAAAATCCTCACAGATAATTAAGATGCTTGTAAACAAGTGCAAACATTAACATATGCATATCAACCAACCAAACCACAGAAAATACTTTTCTTGTACTCATGCATTCCTAGTACTGTGAGCAGTTTGGTTTTTTAAGGCCTATATATGGTGCTACCATATAATCCCCCTGTCTGCAGAGCTCTGACACCAGGATTTGAGTTCTTTGCCCTGTTTCCAAGGCCGCTGACCATACGCCAGAGCTTGGCTTGTCCAACCCAGCCAAACAAATCAGTCCACAGCCTCCACTTATGGCTCCTTCCTTCTACTTCTTAAGCACATGCCATTTCCAAATGTGAAATTCTTTCCCTCTGCTTTTCTTTCAAGCCACATTCTTTCTCCCTTGCATAAACACTGCTTATAATCCACTTCACATTGAAGGTAGCCCAGAAAAAACCATAGCCCCATATTCTCTTCAACAATCCTTTTAGCACTGCTAACCTCGCTCATAAAATATTCATAAGCTTGTCACTTATATTTTCTACCTGCAGTAATTTTGTTTTGTGTTAGTCTTGTCTCCCCATTTAGAAGGTAAGCTATTTGATGAATGAGATCTATTTCATTTAAAAAGCTTTCTGAAGTTTAATTAATGGGTGCTTGATCATTGCTGATTATCATGATATTGTGCATTCAAGGGAGGAAGAGGTTTAGAATCTTTTCTCAAAAGTATGCTCCATGCTTTCTGATGCTGATCTAAGGCAGTGATTGTTCATCTTTTGGGGTCATGGATCCCTCTGAGAAGCTGATAAAATTTATGGACTTTATGCCTCCAAATGGCACATAATAACACAAAAAATTTGCATACAATTTAGAATATGGACTAAGATCCCTGATCTAAAATGTCTCCAATTATCATCTAAAATTCCCCAAAGCAAATATATGTTTATTTTTTAACAATTGGCATGTTTCTTTGGTGCATCTAGGAGGATAGAAAAATTGTAGCAAACAGTTAAGATGTGATTATTCACAAAGTTTATAGATATGATAAACACGATGCCAGAACCCCAAGAACAGACTGATAATTATGACTCCTTGGCCCTGGAACTTAAGCCAATCTTGGTTCCGAGCAGCTGGAACCAAGTTTTTCCGGAATATCAGAAGTTTAGGGGCAAAGTGAAAAAACTCAGGGTCCAAGCTTTGTGACAGAATAGAACCCCAGGAACCCTAGTAGGTGTACAAGAACAACAAAAGACAGAGTAGAATTGTAGAAATTGGAGCTTTGGCCTCCTAACTCTTACAGTTTCTGTCACCAAGGAAGAGTACTGGGAAGTATCAGCCACTGAGTTACAGACAGACAAGGAAAAGTTCGATACTTGCTGTTCCCTCTTTAAGATATTTAGCATTTTAAATGTGCTTGTTATTGAGATGAAACTTACTTAGAATATTAAAAAAATCATATCTTCGCTTGTTTTATTCACATGCGGATTGTTCATTTCCAAAAATAACTATCTTAAGAGCCTGAAGGAACCCTTGCAGTCAACTAGTCAGACTCTCTCCGAATCTCTTCAGTCTTCTTCTCAGGCTGCCTTTAAGAAGCAAATTCAGCTCTTTCAGGTATCTTTTCATCATTTAACCTTTGCCATCACCCTCTACTAATCATATATCTGGGAGCTGGTAACTGTGAATGAGAAAGAGAAGGGCATTTGCCAAATGGAAAGGCAGAAAGTAGAAAAGATTAAAAAAAAAAAAGCAGCCCATCTCTATTGTTGCATAATCAGTGTGCCTGCCTCATCCTTCATTCTTCCCGGTGGCTTTGAAACTGAGAGTTCAAGCATGCTGCAAACTAAACGACATTTAAGGAGACTATTGGTGGCTGGGGGGACAGGGGGCTTCGAAGGTCAAACACCACTTGCCAGGGGGCCTCACTGCCACTGCTGAAAAGCACCATGAGATCAATAAACTGCACGAGATCACCAACACCAGGCAGAAACACCTCAAAAACTACTCGCTTATGTTAAACTAGATCATTTTCTTGAGCAAAACGAAAACAAAATTTACCCATTGAAACTCCTGGAGATCCAAAAAGCTTTACTAGCTGAAAGGCAAACCCTTGTGATAATGGTAGCCCAAGGGAACCGAAGTCAGCGCTTGTTAAGTCGTGGCTATCCTCAGTCGGTAAGCCCTGTAAGTACTTAGGTTCCTCCCAGATCTTCAGCTTTTCATCAAACCTTTCATTTAAAAAGTGAAGATCAGAAGTGGCCCTCAAAGAGCACAAAGTGTCAGATTGGCTACTTAAAATTTCTGAAGAAATAAACCCTACATCGTTTAGTTTATTGCCTACTCTTGTCTGAGATTTGAAAGTCAAAAACAGTTTCTTGTTTGTAAAAGACATCTTCCAAAAGTTAGATACATAGCGTAGCACAAGAGAAGGAATAGCATTTTTGTAAAAATAGGCAGAGTGCCTTAATCTGTTAAGTGACAGGCAATGAGAATAAAACTGTCCACCAATAAACAGAGGGGGAACTTCCATAATATGAAGGTAAAACCACGATGGATGATGATCAAAGATCCTAAGTTCTTGCTTAGTCTCCTCTTCATAGTTTATTTCTGAAATTCTATCTTTTTCATCTCCCCAAATAATTTTTAGTCCATGGTTTTGTATTAACACACCATGTTTCTCACTTTCTTTTTCTGCATTAATATGACTCTGTAAGTTAAAGTTTGATGCCCAATTGAAAATCCTTTTCTGTCTCCTTTTCTTATTCTTTCTTGATTCTAAGGCATTCTCTGGTATATCCCGTTGAGGTAAGCATCTCTTGAAGATACTTGTTTCTGTTTCTATGAATGGCTCTGTAGTTTCAGGTGGAGGTGGGAAATCTTCATTTTCTATCAGTAGCTTCTCCTCCATCGATATTTCTGAACTGATTCCTGGTGCTGATGCACCTTCAGAAGTGGAGATCAATTTAATCAGTGGCCCCCTGCCGTCAGGACAGGCCAGCTTATGTGATCTATCTTTCTTCGGTCTCTGTTCACATATAAACCTATGAGGTCCCTCAGGCCAGCTACCAAAGTAGGGCTGTCTATCAGAATCCTGCTGTAATTCTCCATCAGATAACCTCATTGTGAAAAAAGCCCAATCACTGTTTTTCGTTGCAGGTACTCCTCGTTCCTCTCTTAAAACTTTATCTGAAGTTCTGGATCCGTGTTGATGGCACAGAGTTGGTTCATTTGGGAGACTTTGATCTACCATCTCTCTCTTCTTCATATATGAGAATGGGGTTTCAGCAAATAGGTCCTGGATGTCTAAGGCTACGCTCTGCCTACTGCCAATGTGCTTTGCTACCTTCATGCCAGGGCAGTCATCACTTGTCTCATAGGGAAGCTTGTGAGTCAACGGTGAGCAAGTAACGACGGAGCTTTCATTTGTCATCAGAGACAGACTTAGAAACTGGTCATCACCTTCCTTGGGGAGGTCATTCTTTGGGGTGTTGTCCAACTCAACTATAGACATGACATTTGGAAAACTGTCTTCAGGATCTATGTTTTTCCATCTTTTTTCTTTATAGCTATTCACAAAATCTCCTACTTCATTTTGTGGACCACCAGTGAAGGGACACTCTGATTCTCTTTTGATCTCTTCAAAGTCTTCCTCTTCACTTTGAGATGAGTCCTGATCACCTGGTGTAAGACCACTTAAGACTTCAAGTGAGTTTTCCTCCATAATTTTATTCTGACTGTTCTTCTTTTTGTTTCTTTTTCTGTTTCTCTTCTGTTTGGTTTTGCTGAGCCTATGCCAAGTTGTCTTTAAAACTCTTTCTCTGAAATACAAAAGAATTAAGAAAATGTATAACGATTATATGCATAACATTAGCAAACTATAATATATTCTTCATGTGCAGATTTAAAAATCTTTAGTATAAGAAATTCTAAAGTGTGCATGTGCTTTGTACTGTTTTTTAAAATCACTTTTTAATTCAATTATCAAGGAAGGTGTTTCCTCAACCCACCAGAGACACTAAATATGTTAACAGTGAAAGATTGCCTTTGTTTTCTAAGACATAAATCACTCAAAGTATATGGTATACAGTTTTTATCTTAGGTTTTAATTTAACAATTATTTCTGAATACAAAAGTTAAAGCCAAGTACAAATTATGGTTATCTAATACTTCTTAAATGGTTTTAATTAGTATATCTTTTGTACATGTATCCATCTTAGATCTTTGGTTAATTTTAAGTGGCTTTGTTAAAGTATTAATGGTGCCAGCTGTCAGGATAATAAGAATTAACAACTTGATTTGGGGGAAAAAATCACTTTTAAAAAGAGATGCTTTAATCCTATAAATTAAAAATGAGTAGAAAGTTAAAGCTACTATGCACATAATCATTTCATAAGTCAATAACTTTCTGAAAACCTAATATTTTCTTTAAGGAAAATATTTCCTATACACTCATGCATTGATGGGGCTACATTCTGAGGAATGTGGCAGCAGGCGATTTCATTGTTGTGTGAACATCGTAAGAGTGCACTTACACAAACCTAGATAGCATGGCCCACTACATATCTAGGTATATATATGGTATGGCCTGTTGCTCCCAAGCTGCAAACCTGTACAGCATGTTACTGTGGTGAATACTATCAGTAACTGTAAAACAATGGTAAGTATGTGTGCAAATAAACATATCTAAGCATAGAAAAGGCACAGTAAAGGTGCCATATAATAATCTCATGGGACCACTGTTACATATGTGATCTATTATTGACCAAGTTGTTGTTATGTGATATATGACTGTATATGCAAAACCTACCAATAAATATCTTGGATTTTTTAATATCTTAGGTTTTGAAAAATAAAAAAATGGCTGTTATAGTCACAGAATGGCACAATTTTAGTGGCTTTAATAGCTAGCTTTTCTGTAGACATAAAGAATGGTTCATATTAAACAGCTGAGTCCAGAATTTGGGTGACATGCTTCTAACTGTCTAGCTAGTAGTTGTTCTAAACCAGAGGCTACACCACTACTTTGTGGGGTGCTTAGAAATGTGTGAAGGCATTTTTGGTGGTCAGAATGACTGGTAATGTGTTATGAGCATTTGGCCCTGAGGCCAAGGATACTAACCATTCTTGCAATGCCCAGTGAATAATTATCCCACCTGAAAGAGCGACAGCACTCTCATCCAGAACACTGAAAGTTCATAGCTCCCCTTAACGGACAACAATATTTGATCCTAAGAGAAAAAGGAGTATTTAGGAAATTTTCTAACTTAAAATATAAAGGCCTAGTTATGCTGTCTTTCACCCTGGATAATCAGAGTCAGGGACAAAGTGCTGATGGAGACAAAGTAAAGTGCAGCAGGAAGAAGACAACAGGCATAGCTCAGGGGGGAAAATCCAGGACAGAGGAATAGAAAAGCAAACCAGCAAAGAAACATGGAAAAAGGAGGAGATGATGAGGAAAAGAGAACATCCAGTTGATTGGCTGGGTATTGGACAGAGGGGCTTATTAAACCTTGCCTGGCCTCTGGCCTCGTTTACTCCATTCCATGCTCCTGGGCAATTGTCAATAGGCAGGACACCTGATCACCTTGCTCTCTGTCACTTAATTGCTGCTGCCCTTTGTTTGCACATTCCAGGATGTTGGTTCAGAAAGAACACCAAGAAACACTAATGTACCTAGAAACAGTTGTGATAGGGCCTCTACAGAAAGGATGTCACATAAAGAATGCCAACTCTGCTAGTAGCTGTCCTTCATGGCCAGTTCTACCCGATTCCAGTGAAAGTTCTAGTTGAAGTGAAAGGTGCAACCTCAGTTATGAAATTCTTGCTGCAGACTAGTATGTCGTTCCAAAAACAAACTCCCCTGTCTTTGCCCCAGTGTGAACCAACCTGTTGCAGAGCAAGAACAACTATGAAGAGAGTTTGTTGGTTTATTTATTTGATTAGGTGGTAATAACACTAAGACTTCAGACTCGCTCCAGCACGGGAGATTCTGTGGCACTGCATACACATACTGTGCAGCCACTGTGCCTCTGAGCAGCTCTCTACTCTCCAATGAACGAGAGTCCGAATCTAGAGAAACGGAGTTACTAGAATATGGTTCATCACCAAAATGTTTATAACTCCCTGTGCCATTTGAAAGACCAACATCCGCAATTCTACCTTGAAAATTGGCTTTAAAAAGACTATTTATTATACGTTTACTATGTAAAGATTGTTTCATTGCTTCCCACATACCAACTCACCTAATCTTCACAACTATAGGAAGTAAGGACAAGGCTAGTATTAACCCCATCTCACAAAGGCAACTGAAATACGGAGAAGTTAGAGAACTTGACCATGGTCACATGGCTAGGGGTAGGTTCAGACTAGTCTGACTAGCACTAAAGTTCATACTCTTTAACCGTTATGCAAAATTGCCTCTCAATTTACAAAGAGAATTGTATAAAACACTTCCTTCTTTTTCTTCCTCCTCTCATCTTTAAACCCTCACATCTGCATAAACAGAGACAGTTGGCTGGCAAGGGCTGAGTCCTTTTCATGAGAGCAGCACTTGGGCATTACCACTATTATCACTAACCTAATAGTGTCTTCAGACTTTCCTCTTGTCCTCTTTCCTCTCTCTGGATCCAATCAAACAAGAAATAGCAACAGGAAGTGGGAGGAGATACTCTGAAGCAGGAAGCCTCTCCCTGATCTGCCCTCCTGTGAGCAACAGGAAGGCCCTCGTAGATTGCCCACATGTAGGTAAACACATGGGCACAAGTGGCTCCTCCTGGAGTTAGCTCATTCGTCATGGGGTGAGGGTAGTGAGAAGTCATCACATTCTGGATAATTTTTTGAAGGATAAACAAGCAAGATTCAAAAACAAATTGGATATGGGGTATGAGAAAAAAAGATTAAGGATGAGTGCAAGGATTTTGGCTTGAATAGTTGGAGGATGAAGTGGCCATTTACCGAGACGTAGAAGTATATGCAAGATGTGGGAGAGAACTGGTAAATCAGCTGCCTCGAAGTCATCTCAGAGTCTGAACCAATAGACCAATGTGTCCTTATAGCAGATGTCAGGAAGTGGAAAAGATGAGAGCTTTTCTAATATTCCTCAAGAGCTCCTTTGTTTTCTAAATGGATTACAATCAGAGGCCTGCTTACAGAAAAAATAATTAGGACCTGCCAATGATAACAATCCACTCTGACTGCAGAGGTGAACACTGGATTATGAAGGAATGAGGTGGCTTAAAAAATGAACTATCAGAGTCTGGGAGATCAGGTCACTTATGAAGGAAGTTTGCTAAGAGTTAATTGAAGGACTCTGGGAGGCTGAGAGGGGTGGATTGCTTGAGGTCAGAAGTTCAAAACCAGCCTGAGCAAGAGCGAGACCCCATCTCTACTATAAATAGAAAGAAACTAATTGGCCAACTAATATATATAGCAAAAATTAGCTGGGCATGGTGGCTCATGCCTGTAGTCCCAGCTACTCGGGAGGCTGAGGCAGGAGGATTGCTTGAGCCCAAGAGTTTGAGGTTGCTGTGAACTAGGCTGACGCCACGGCACTCACTCTAGCCTGGGCAACAAAGTGAGACTCTGTCTCAAAAAAAAAAAAAAAAAAAAGAGTTAATTGAAGGAGCCTCCAAGGATTTGACCTTCCACCTGAAAACACAACACAATGCCAAAAGGCATGAAAACCAAAAGACTGACTCTACAAGGAAATGCGCCAGACACATGCACAAGTTCTGCACCACTAAAGCTCTATATAGCTACCAAGCCTGCTCCGAAACAGTGGACCAGGCCTCTGGAAGGGAAACACAAACCAGTAACAGTGACTTGTGAAGCTTGCAGGAGAAAAGAGACTTGGAAGGTGGTAACTTCTGTTGGAATGTGCATGCATCTGTGGCTAATCAGTAGCTGCTTTCTCATCAGGAATAACCTTCCATAAAGTGTGAGAGGCTCATCACAGCTGTGTCAAGGCTTGTTAAACTTGACCTCACTTGTGCCTACTCATTTAGGAATGAACAGCACCCTTAGAAGAAAAGAAACATCAGTAAATAAAAGTCATGAAGAAGAAATCAGGAGAGTGAGAGGCACAGTTTAGCTTTAGAAAAGAAAGGAGGAAATACGAAATGAACAAATGGTAACAAACACATCTATGGTGAATAAGATTTCGCTTTCTGGGTGATGGCTTAGAATCCAAGCTCCTGGGTAGGGATGGGGTGTGCCTCTCAAGAACTAGAGAGAGGCTGGTCCAATGGTAGTGGGTTATCAGAACTTATTAACATTAGTGTCACTAAAGTTGGTATTCAACCACCCCCCCGCTGCTAAATTTGACTGGCTTTAAAAAAAAAAGAAAGAAAGAAAGAACTAGAGAGAGAGTGTTTGCTCATAGACAAGCTAACCTGACTAAGTGAACTGTGACCTGAAGACAAAGATGAGAGAGCATCCAGATAAAGCTGGAGAAAGTGAGGGGGCATGGACAGTAACTCATAATCTTCATGAAAAAAATAACTCAAGAGGCAAGAAACAGGATTTCCCATTGCAGAATCCTATATACAAATTCATGATCATGGGCAATGAATTAAATAAATCACAGATTAAAACACACGCAAATTATAAAAGAAAGGTCTCACAGCTTTTTGGAATGACTGTGGTTGAAAAAACCCGGCCTGGGTCCTGGGTCAGTAATAAGCCGGCAGTGGGATCTTGGGCAAATCAGGTCTTCTTTCTAAAATGGGGATGATATTACCTCCATGCAGAGTTGTTGTAAGGATTATTAATTATAGATGCTCTTACATGATCTCTATATGTCATATCTCAAATACATGTC